TAAACCACATACAAATGAAAATATTAAGTAATTGTGTTAACTAAGTATTCGTGCTGTAAATTAGAGTTGCGTGTCGTATGAGTTATGGAACGTAGGTTAGATTACTAAAAAATGTATCACATAGTCTCCAAGTTTCTGAACGTCTAAAACATTTTGTTTACGTTTTCAGAAAGACATGTTTATGTTAACTAATGTTTTTTGCACAATTGAAATGTGTTGTTTATTATGCAGAATATTCAACAACTGTAACAATTTTTAACGACTTAAAAAAATATTGTTTATCAAACCGTATCGATAAGACATGGAGAACAAGCCGCTTGGAAAAGAGTATATTATGTTAAGCAGATAAAAACTCCTTATCGATTCCACCGGCAGTGTAAAATATAAGAACGTGAGTAGAATTTAGACGTCCAAATATTGTACAATATTATTAGTATTGTAATATTGGGATGAAGACATTTTTCATCAGCTTTGGGAACATCAATTTTATATTAATACTTCTATTCGGAAGCTTAAGTCATCTCCAGATAAGCCGCCGAAGTGTAGAGCCGATAATAATTCACCGTCTACAAATTATTATCGATCAGTAAATGTATATTGCACAGTTATTTTACGTTACGCTGGCGAATCTAATTGAGTGGCAAAAAAAAAAAATTTTAACACGTAAGTAGTCTCAAAAATAACTCAACGTAGGTTGAACTGATATTCGACTATTTTGAAGTGTTGTGACATAAAATGGCACAAAGAGAGTTGTTTTATGGATCATAAAACGCGTTTACAGCTGACTGGCTCAACACAATTCAGCAAACGATAAGGACTCTTTATTTTCAGCACATCAAAGTTAGTTGGATCAATAAGGTTAAATGTGCTAAGGCATAATATTGTTTTCAGTTACACGTCACAATGGACAAGTATAAATATCGATTACAAAAAAGTTAAAACGTTGTGTAGGTATTTCTTATCTTTCGAGATATTTTGCATTTCAAAAATACCAACCACTCTAATTCCATTAATCAATGTCTTCGTTAAACTGTGAAAAATATATTTTTCTCTATAATAAAAATACATAATATATTAATCCTACTTGTTTTTTATCTGGATTAAATTTAAATCACATTAAAAATATTTGCATGGATTCAAGTTGTAGTTTGTAAAGACATTGGTCGATCCCAAATAGCTGAAAAAAGAGACAAAGAAAACACAGGAGATTTTCATGTGTTAGGGTTGTTGAACGGTAAACTCTTGTTGTATTTCTTACTATTTGACAAAGATATAATTATGTTTCTTCTTTCTACAACGTTGACTAAAGTTTTGTTAGTAAATGAGTTTATTATTTCAAGAAAACGGTTAAACAAATAATGTAGGATTTTACGTTAAACTAATTTGGTAATTATTAAACATATACTTTTAATTGATCTTTTGCTCATCAAATTAATCTTAACGATTTACCGTGATTTTTAATTCTTACAATGTTGATAGTTCAAAACGTTTTTTATTAAATGGAAGGCGTAGTTTGATTTAAATAGATTTTTTTTAAATATAATAAATTTGAGTTGTCAGCACTTGCTCACAATATTAAATAGCGTATATTATATTATCAACAAATATATATTTATATACATTTAATATAATAGACTCCATTACTCTGCGTTGATTCAAAAAACTAAGCCAAAAGGGTCGAAGATATTAAATATCTATAAGTGTTTGTTTTGTTATATTTCTGAAAAATATGCGCGATAACCGTTGTATGTATTTCATCTGGGTGCTCGACCAAAACGTTTTGAAACGGATAAGTACATTGGAAATTCACTAGGCCTGTCATTAAAAAAGTTTATGGACCTCGTGTAGTTTTGCCAAGTCGTAAATCATCGCGCGAGGAGGATCTCATTATAAAAAACGCAGTTCATTGCACTCGGTATACTCGATGGCAGTGGTGGCGGTTTTGATTTGAGAACGTTAAAGGCGTCGTTAAATGCCCTATAAAAAGATGATGTTGCTGAGTATGTGTTGATTCTTAATGGAACAAGTCTATGCGCGTTTGTGAGACAGCGAATAAAAAAAAAAAATAAAAAATGCTCGCTATTATTAAATTTTGACTAAAGCATACTCGCAGAGGATACAGACTGTAAGTACTAACATAACTGATCTCCTGTTTGCTGGGTTCTACCAAATGGATCTTTATCTTTTGACGGCCGACCCCGAAAAACAAAAAGATTGATTAATGACACGGAACTTGTTGTTTTTTCTACGAGAAAACGGTAACCGTTTCCGTGTAACAATCAGCTGCTGGGCTGCAGCAAAGTAACAGCTGATGTAAAAAGAAAAAAAATAATGTTAATATTATTTAACTGGGTAAATACAAAATACACAGACAATATTAATAATGAACCAACGGTCCATAACGAGATGATACTGGTACGGTTAAATAGCTGACAGTCATATAGTTAAATAGCTATAATATACATTGGTATATATTACAGCTGATATAAATTAATATACCGTGGGTGTAACTTATTGACAACGTATACAAGACGTCAAACGATGTCCTTTGAATTTGTCCACGATATTATATCGTCATTAATTAATCGAGTCTCAGTACAGATTTTTCACCTACAAACCCATTATTGAAAATGTTTGGCTTAGCTCTTTTAGAGATAGGAAAATCTGGATTTTCCTCTACTCTAATTGTCAGACAAAAATAGTATGCTGCAAACCTTCCTGTTTGGTCAACCCCTCGGCCGTGGCCCGTGGGATTGAGGCATAGCAGTTTTGGGAAAACCTTTAAGAGAAATACGACTTTCTAGTCATGACCCTTGTTAATACTATTAAAACGGAAACGAATGATTTCTCAAATAAATATTCAGCTGTAGTTTTTCAACTTTAACTTAACTTTTATCTACATTATTGTTTTTGAATTATTAGTTAGGCTTTCGTTTTTTTAATGCTAATAGTTAACAACTAGATATGTAGATTGTGTTGTTGATGATTTGTAGGTAAATTGTTAGGGCATTCCGTTATTGTATTATTTTGCTTCTTCTGTCGAAAAATAAAATGTACCAATATTATAAAATACTCAAAGTTTTGCGTTTGTCAAACAAAGCTAAGCAATTTTTTATTTTTTAAACGACGTGTTTTTCTTCTAATATTGTCTATAAATTACTTTTATTTTATTGTCTTGAACTTGTTTAACACAACAGTAAATTGTTCAATACTGACCAACGCAGTGCTTGCTCTAATTATTCAAACAATTTGAATAAATTGTTTTTACCTCTAATTGCAAATAACTTTTCATAGTCAGTAGCTCCCCCCCCCCTCCACCTACCATTAATCACGCAATTTCAAGACTTTTAATCACTCCTGTACCATTTGTTAAGCCACTGTCAATTCACGTTCTCTTATCATAATATTACAGCATTTTAGATTTCTTGAAACTAAACCACAAACAGCGGTCGAGTACAATAGTGAATTAAATAAGGTATGAAGTTTCCATCGGTTTCTGCAAAATAATTGAAAAACTCTGCTGTTACTATGAAAAGTCAAAAGCACTCCACCAAAGTATTTAATAATTCAGTTGTCACCAAAAGGTAATTGGTTTACCTACTGGATATGTTGTTGAATGTTAACATAATATAATTCCAATGAACCATTTTCACAAGCAACTTTATTAATTACACGGTACCGCGAATACAAATGTTTATTATAAATCTGACTCTCAAAACCAGATGAACGTAAGTCACATTAGGCCAACTTTAAGGAGAGTATTAAAACGTTAATAATTGTCTACCATACTCTCTTATGAGAACTTACACTCTTATACTCCCACTAAATTATTATGGGAGAATTTTTAACCGGCTTCTGTTGGTATAGCTTGTTACAAAATTATATTCTACATGCACAATTTATAATAATCTGAAAATCGTTACTTTTGGACTTATGTGTGGTTCCGAGGTACAAAAAATATTAATAATAAATTATTATTATTAATAAAAATTGTCATAAAGCAATATATTGTGCGAGCGCCGGCAAAAATAAAATGAGATTTCAGTGATTTTTGTACCATAATTATTATTTGAAAAATGTATCACTAACAACTTTATAGCGTACTTCAAACAAATATAATATTAGAGCGACAGATGGCAGTAAAATATGTTATTTATAATCATAAAACGTTAACTAGGAAAACATTTGAAGTGGTGTGTTAATAACTACTGCATTTTTCGTCTACATCATATTATAATAATTAACAGTAACTAAAACGTAGGCAATTTTTAAAGGACTTGGTTTACCGAATCGTATGCTGGAAACCTAAAGCGCACTGCATTGGGTACAGGTAAAATGCTGATTATGTTAATACACCAGTCATGTGGGTCTAGCGAGAGAAAATTAAGTGATTATATTTAACCTTTTGTTCTCTTGTATTGTTAGTTTATCCTACATTTGAGTTTAATGATTAAAATAAAATCTTCTTTATCACTTACTTATACAAAATATGTTTATTATATATATATATATATACGTTAAAGTAGAACAAAAAAAGTGTATACTAAAATTCCATATTTTTAATGAGACAATTTTTTCCTTGATTTCCCTTAACTACAATTTTTAATTAAAAGATCCACGTCGTTTCATGTGCTCGGTTATATTTAAAAAAAATACACTGTAGTTGATGGGTCTTAAACAGAAGCGTGCCCAGAGGGAAAACGAGGACCATTTTCCCTACATTGTTTTTTTTTTTTAAATTAAGGATCTTATTATTGTTGTGGGCATTCTTATCTTGTTAAATAATCAATTAATTTATTTGTTATCTCATAATTTTGCTATCTTAATATTAAATGAAATGCACAATGGATGGACATGTTAAACGTTAACGGGCAACAGTCACATATCGAAACCGGACTCGTATACTTTTACTTCATTACTACCGCCCACATGAAGTTCCTGGGGCGTGCTAATGGGTTTGTGGAATATTTCAGTTGTATTCTTAATAAGCAAGGACTTACTTCATTTGAAAGTCGTAGTACTGTTGTGTGCTCAGACAGTTGGCGAACCCGGGCCACCGGTTGAAGTCGATTGGTAGTTCAACGGGAGCGGTCTGACATGCATCGTGGCCGTGTTCGGGCGAGTTGCCGCACAGTGAAGGCTGTTGTACAACGATTGTCGCCACCTGGCCTGTATCCGACATGACCACAGCAGCCGACTGACTTTTGTTGATGATCAACGCGTCCAGCAAAACGGCAGAACTCCTCCGGTCCTTGTTCCAGTCCGGCGTCCTACCGAATACCGCCGACGGTCGCCTGGGGTACACAACAATAATACAGTATTACATTCAGGTACGCACAAAGTTGGGCGAAAACCAAAGTACAGTATCTGGAAACACATTGTTTATTGATTATACTCGGATGTAGTGCTAAGGCGATACTGGTATAATACGACTTGAACGGATTATCATTACTACTGTCAACGATTACTTGGCGGAGTTTAGCTCGATACAGAGAACGGCGTCAGTAAAAAAAAAAAATTACATTACAATAATAATAATTGTAAAAGTTAAAATGCACATGACGCACGATACGCTCAAGGAAGGTTAATAAAGATGTTCAGTTTATAAGAGCCAAGCCAAATAGCCGGAGAAAAAAAATAACTAGTTATAAAAAAATTAATCTTAAAATTTAAGACCATCCTGCGGTCATAACAGACAAATACTTTCTGTTTTATTAGTTATGTATACAAGTGACAGGGAAAATTAAATTACTATTACGTGATGCGAGTACATTAAAATATTATAGAAAATGTTCGCCGAAGAAAAAATGCATTTATTGTGTTCTACATGAAATACCATGCTTGAGTTTATCCCTAACACTGTGTAGCAAAATATAAAATGTCTCTACAGATACGATGGCTATTATAAAGTACACGTTTTGGTTTTTGCTTAATACTCATGTTGTACGGGTTTTCAAGAATTGAATTTTTAAAAAAAATGTTTAGTCAATGGCACATAACAACATCTTTAATTGGTTACCCATGTTTAATTGTGATTTTTAATATGGTTTATTTATTTTTGTGCAATATTTTAAAAAGGAGTTATGAAATATACAAAAACGATGACCTCTTTAAAAAAAAAATCTTATAATTATGTTTAGTAGTATTAAAAAAAAATTATATACTTGAAGCTCGAAAACTTGTTGTTTATATTTAAAAATCTGTTCTTTGTTTATAGAACGTTATGGCGTGCTAAGCTTTTTTCTTTATGGGTGACGGGAAATGTAAAAATTTAATGAGCACCGTAGCTTTATTCTGCTCATAAAATGAAAAATTAACTTGTAGTATGTTTTTCCAGTATAATAAACCATGAATGTTGGTATTTACACTGCATTTATAGTTTATTCCGCTGATTGTAAACTTTATCCATAGCTTATTTTACTACAACTTAATTAAAAAGTGAAGGTGGATTTCTTAATTTTATTTCAAGCCATAAGGTTTGCATTATTAATACCGTTGTAAGTTAGGTTAGGTTGTATATACTACAAGAATAAGTTCAAGAAATGTGTAATAATTCAAAAGTTGCATTTCTATCAGTTATAGGTATTTCCCGAATTAATAATATCGGGTTTTTGTTTCTAGTCAAACCTCCAGTTAGCTACATGTATATGACGTCGGCTATGTTTGTTTTTAACTTCCGTTTACACAGATCTCTGGCAACTTGTATATACATTTTCCCTGCTTCTTTGGTATTTTACTTTTAGATTAAGTGTTTAAAAAAGTACCATTAAACATTATTCATATTTAAACATAATTTTTAATATTACATGTATTTGTTTGCATACATACTTCCGGGTTTAGTCTTATGTTGTACTATTTTATTGCTACTACGACACAGAAAATTCAATATAAAATGTTATTTACTGAAAACATACACTTTTCCTGCTTCTTTAATATTTTACTTTTAGATTAAGTGTTTAAAGAAGTACCATCAAACAATATTTATATTTAAAAATAATTTTAAATGTTATAAGTATTTTTGTTTGCATATATACTTCCGGGTTCAAAATCGTATGTTTTACTTTTTTTATTACCCTTACGATACAGAAAATGTAATATTAAATGTTATTTACTAAAAATACCTCAATCCGATGCTTGAATGGTTCGAAATTCTCAAACAATTATTTTCTCTTTTTCAATAAAAAAAATGTGAACTTAATATTAAATTAAAATATATTTGTAAGTAATAATAATAAAACAAGCGCAGTTTTTTTATTTAAACGTTTTCAATTAGTTTAAAATGAAAAATACTTATTTTAAAAGTTTAATTTAGTTTGACGTTTCATACAAAATTATATTATAATTCACATCGTTTTATCATTGATCGAATTGCATTTACTCGTTGTTGGCCATGTGTTACTCGATCCAGGAATAGTAAAATCTAAATTCCTGATTAGTTTCTTGTTAAACCGTACGTTAAACGCACGTTATACTAAGTAACAGATATGTAATTAATTCTCTTTGGTGAGTTTGATCGAGTTAAATAGCACATGCAAATATTTCGACTTAGTGATTCATTTACATACTATATTATTATAATATAGAACCACAGTAGGCTGATTTTGATGTGATTACACATCAAACATAACATTCGCGGTACGCATACTTGATAATGCATCATAGTGTAAGGGCACGCTCTAGTTTTAATCATGACAGGATATAAAAATAATAATAAAATGATAAAGCCAAGTGTATTGTTTAATAACAAACTCGGTATAAAAACTTTTAATCTCAATTTTTGTCTATAACCCTATATTTTTAAATAAGTACTATAAGCACAACAATAATTGAATAAAATATAATATATAATGTATTGTCTTGAAAAATATATAGGTTTATATAAGTTCTCACTTCCAGTTCCATATACAAGTGGGGATTTAAAAAATAATTTATTGGATTTTGAAAAGATAGCTTTTAAAAAGATGAAATTAAAATTATAAATACGTTTCGAATGTAAACTAATCTTAAACTATAAATAAAGTAGTAATTATTTTTCGACGTTACGGTTGTAATTCGATTTTTCTATTATGTAATGTAGAAGGGACTATTTCGAAGCACGGTAAGTCTAACGGTCCATACGGATGCCAGTCAACGTGTACCAAGACCATTTGCTATAACTAAAAATCAAAATGTTATCTCTCATTTGTAACGGCATTACCTTTTGTTAATATCCAAACGAACGCCGTGCTCTTCGGTTTCGTTGACCGTGGGGAAGGTAAAGTGCTGTTTGGACTTGGTAGGCGACGATGAGCTATCTCCTATAACAGGAGAACCCGAGACCCCGGTAGGCGACGACGGCACGGGCGGTGACCCATTGTCCACCTGAAACGAGTCCTCGCTGTCAATGGTCATTTGTTCGGCTGCGAATCCAGAAGAATTTCTGCCGATCTCCGTTCGGGTTCTGTCCTCTTCAAACCGACTTTTGGCGTACCTCCTCGAAAGCAACTTTAACCTATAACAAGCCAATCTCAAATTATTGTGTTATATTCCCTTGACTTCTTCGGGGGCACGGAATGAGACATTATTGTCTAGTGGATTTTGATAACTAAACATTTCACTTTTTGTTTGTACAATCGACAATTTTGCTCGTTGGAACGTTGTCGAGTAATATTAAACTCCGAATGAATTGAAATTGTGTATCAATAGCTGCCATAGTTGTATATAATCAACGATAGGTGACGAAATATGTATAATTCGAGCAATAAAGTATGTGTTGTGTTATGTGATGACGGATGATCGAACGTGGTCATTAATTATTATAACAACAGTAGGTATGTAATCACCAAAACACAGATTTTCAGTTATAGTAATTGTATTACGTACGATTGATGGTGGAATTAATTTAATAATGTATGTATATCGTGGACTAGTATAACTGCTACTAATACAATAATATTATTACACTAACGTTTGAATATTAATCATTATGTTTAACCCGGAATTATATCAATTCCGCACGTACGTTGAGTAGTCGTAAAATTAGAAACCTATTTTGAAATAAAACAACTGATTAAATTGAACATTTATGTTATAATTTTGTAATGATTCTTTGTTTATATGCACGAATCGGAGGTGGCTCATGTATATTGTTAGTTGAGAAACTTCCCTATTACAACTTTTTTCTATTTTGAAAAATTAATTTAGCAAACTGGGTTGGTTTCGAACGAACTTTGTTTATTATGCTTATGATTATAGTGTTTTTCACTTAACCCTATAATTTATAAATGCTCAAGCTGCCTCTGGCATATTATATTGCACCAAAATATGACATATTATAAGCTAACCGCATGCTCAAATGGGTTCGGTAAAATACCTCACAGCTGCCTGGCACAACAAATATTTCAACTGTTTACCGCGGTATAGTTGGCTAGTAATCGTTCACCACAACCAAAAAACCTCCGCACTTCAATTGGGATATTTTCAAGTATTCTCAGAAATACACATTATCCGGGTGAAATTTGCTAAAGACATTAACCGTTAGCAATATTTTTGGTATGGTGCCACATTCTATAATCCAAATACAATAAATATATCATTTGTATTAAGTAAAAAACAAATTTCGTCGAATAATTGACTCGTCTAACACCGCGAAAAATAACTATGAGTTTTATATTTTTTAAATTTTGTAATGTTCTCAACAGCTAAAATTGTTGAAACACTTTCTATGTAACCCTTTATTTTAAAAACTATAATATTATTTAGTTTAAATACCTATATTCAAATTTTGGATATGTAACATACAACTTTAACAATGACAAATAGGTAGAAGTATTTTTAACACTTGTAGATTGTAAGTAGCAAAACTGCTTATAACTTTAAGCAACCGAAAGCCTCCCGCATTTTTATATTCGTAATAAATAAACAGAGGAAGGTTGAAAAATATAATGTAAAATATAACCAATTTTTATAAGACTATAAAATGTTAATAATCTATGTTCATTTTATTTATAAAACACATTCAATGAATTCCCAAACCCGTTTAATTAAATTGATTGTTACTATTCATAACAAGAGCCCGCATGTATAGTTTAAAATGCAAAGAGTTAATCAAAACCCATAAATCTGCGTCGGGTCCCCATATATTAGAAGGAAAATCTGAATAGCTCTGGATTAGATACAGTCTACTTTGTTCCTAGACCAGAATATTGAGAACTTGATCATTCTAATGATCTGAAATTGTTAATGTTATACGAATATTTTTTTTTTATTCAAGTTTAACGTCTATTTATTTCCTACGAACAGGCTCAGAAGGGTTATTGGATTTGGCGGGTTAGGTTTACAGCTGGCTGCAAACAAACGCGACACCAAAACTATAAGAATTTGTTGATTTTTTTCTTTACTGACCTTTTATTGGCTATTATAGTGTTGCGGTGTAGGTTCTCGAGTAACGCTTGTCTTTTCATGATGTTTCTCCATTCCAAAGTATTATCCGCATCGTCATCAGAATTTTGGTTTCTGTCGGCCGGTCTGAAGTCTTCCACCCTGGACGTTCTGTTATCGTCTTCCTCGTCGCCGCTGTCGTGGTTGTTGTTTTTGTTGTTGTCATTGTTGTTGTTATTGTTGTTGTTGTGGCTATGGTAGTTGCTAGTCGGCAGAGCCGTGTACTGTAGGAAAGCTAGTCCGCTGTCGTCGTACTCCTCGGGTGCAGTGTCTTGCACGGTAAAAATGGCCTTCGGATCATCCTTGGGTTGTTCTTCGGTGCTGGAAGCGCTGTAGAACTCGTCATCCTTTTCGGCCGACGACGAGGATTGGGTTCCGTTCAACACTTCATCCAGCAAATTAGGGATGATCCTCATTTTGGGTTCCACGTGCTAAGTAAAAACAAAGGGTTGTTGCGATAAAATCATAAACGATAAACTAGATAACAATAATTTCCATAACGATCATTTTGATCTTCGTCGTCTTAATTTCATCTTACACGTATTCCCGTACTCGGATTTTCCTTATAACGAAATCTTAAGAAAACAGTTAGGTACTAGTTTGTTAGATGATTTAATATTATATCCAACTCTTCAACTTAAACTTTGCTGTATTAGTGTGAAGTGTGAACTAATATGAAAAAGTAGGTCATTTTCGATGCTAAACCTATAAAACAAATCTATTGTATAAATGTAAATTTTTTAAATCAAAATACATTCTAGGAAACATAAATATGCAGTATTTGTATAATTTATATGAAAATGCATGATATTTATAATGTCGGATTTCTGAAGAAATTACGTGTGGGGAATATTTCGTTATCATAATAACTAGTTATGCATTCACACTAAAAAAAAAGATAGGTATTTTATTATTTATTAGTATTGTAAAAATACTTGAAGTTATGACGGTTGTCAATCTACATGAATTTGTATGAATTACCATAATAATGACATATCAATATTTAAATGATACTTTTATTATTGTTATAATAATTGGATAATATTATAACGTAATCCATGATATCGGCTCCTTTTTTTTATTAGTATTATTTGTGCTTACAAACACGTCAACAATAACTACTAAAGCTGCTGATATTTGGAAAATATTATATATATAAATGAATGGTGTGTAACAACATCATAAAAAATGTTATTTATCATAATGTAATATGTTTGCTTTTAAAATGTCAAATATTCATCCGATAATAACTAATCGTTATTCACTTGTTAATTGTTATACTAATAGCGGAATGCAAAAAAAAAAAAACTATTTAATAATTTATTAAAACCGAATGAACCAATTACTCGCTACTAAATAACTATTGATTCATTAAACCTTCAATACATTTTCATGCAGCCTGTTACCCGGCGTAGGTATCTCAAATAAATTAACAATTACTAATTACATTTATCCATATATTATAATCGTTTAAACTAAACGTACCTACTCATGACACTAACGTACTTAAGATAGTGGCCGGGCGACGACGTCGTCAAAGGCTGTTTAGTACTTACCGGGTTGTCGATGCTGTCTTCGTTTTCCGTGTCGGTTACCGTGGTCATGGTGACCATAGAAGAGTCGGTGCTAGTGTTGACCGTGGCCGAAGACTCGACGGATATTGAGCTGGAGCCGATCACCTTGACTTTGGGCACCGGCGAAGTCTGTTGCGACTGCGGCTGTTTGGACCGGTTGAGCATGCGGTGGGCGCCGGCAGACTTGAAGTGCAACCGCCGGAGAGCGCTGGACGCGCTGGCGATCAGGTCGTTGCCGGAAGACGCAGTGTTGTAGCTGGAAGCCGACGACGGCGTTGGAGATCCCGGCGCCGACTTCCTCACGAAAACCGCCATCCTGTGCTTACCGGTACCGCCGACATCAGCACCGGTCGGTGTCCAACCGCCACCAACCTGTAAACGACAGCAAAACGACTCAATTATTCAAACACGTGTCAATATAGTGTGGACTTCACAAAAGTCAAACAATCTAAGCACGTTGAGTAGAATACAAGTCCCGTGCAAAAATTAAAAAAATACAAGTGTTTATTTGGATCGTATCGTAAGTGTAAGTAATTGGTAAAAATATTGAGTGAATCCCTCCACGCTATATTTTCAATTTCATAGGTTAGCTTTACACCAAATCTACACAGTATTAATATTACTTTTTTTATTCGAAAAAACAATATTCGGAATAGAATAAGTACAATTATTTAAGTATGACGGAGCAATTAATCCGCGTGGTGACATTTCATACAGTAGATATATTGTTCAACTCTCCATTACTGGCGATAATCGTAATAAAGTCTTAGCGAACCAATAATTATTTATTTTGGTTTGCATCTGATGTTTTAAAAGAGTAGACAAAAAAAAAGGGACTTTTATTAACATCCTGCTCTTTATTTATCTCGTTTGTTTTGTAAAATTTTTAAACGACCTAAGGCGTTACAGTTTTCAATCCAAAGTATGCTTCCGAGCGAATCTCATTTCGTTCAAAAACTTAAGATGAATCCCGAAAAGTTTAGTAAGTCGATTATCGTTATGACGCGTTTGTTATTATTTTTAGGGACAACCAAGTCAATCTGAGGCACGTCAAGTGTAATAATTATGTTAACAGGACAACGACGAGTTAGGTACAGTAAACTGTATTTGACGTTAAGAGAGACCGTTATTATAAGTATATATATATATATATATATATGTATATTCATATTTTATACACTTAACGATGCGCGATATAACACGTATGGCTATTATTGGACAGATTTATCGGTAGAGCCCGCCGAAGAATGTATACTTTGCACTAAGCACGTAGCTGGCTAGTATAAAGGTCACTCAAGCAGGCCATTAAGCTTCTCCAGCTTTTGACATCACTTCGGGTCACTATTATTACACAGCGAGCTGTATACGAGTAGACATTTTTGTTTAGTATATAAGTTACTACGACAAAGACATGGGTGGTTGTCCTAAATAGTTAGGACAAGTGGACGAAGAATATTATATCTACGAGAATTAAATAATTATTCGTATTCGAACCAGGAGAGAGGGCGAAAATTGTCAATGTACACCTGTAACCACATCTAGATAAATTTTGGAATTTGATTGAAAGCAACGCTGTAGCTGAGTCGCAGTATTTGATTATAGAACATCTATTCTAGACTGGTAAAACTTTCACTGCCGTGGTGTTGTATAATATTTAAAACGCTTTAAAAGATATGAAAAAAAATGCTCTCTAGTGGATTTCTGGTCAAACGCGCACGTGGTTCTGTTTTTCACAGCCGTTAATTAAACACAATGTAACGTCGCGGATAATGGAAAACGTTTCCGGTTGTTGGATAAGAGTTGCTTCCCAAAAGCCCGCAGTTAACCGGATATGCTAAAAAGACACTTGTACTGGGCTGCAACCGTCGTCGTTCGTTTTCCTCACGTATCCCGAATTAATTAAAAACTCAATTAGTTAACTTTTTTAATTACAATTTTCTTTTTTTGCGTTTTCTCTTTTCCCCCCTTCTTTCTCGGCCACATTTCCCGGCACTAACACCTGAGGGCAAAACAAAAACCATCTTCAGGTCGTGTTAAAAAAAAAAAAAAACACTTAATCGTTCAGTTCATTATCGGGCAGGCTTCCCGTTTTCTTCCGTTTCCCGCCGGATGCACCAGAAAAATCTATGGAAAATAGTTCCTCGACATAATTTAATGATTAGCATTAAAATCCCACTCAGCTGCGTTCACACGATAACGACCGAGCGAATAGTGAAAATGTTGGGTTTTTAACGAAGAAACATCGGCGTTGAGTTACATATTTTATAACAGATATTGTACGTTGAACCGAGATGGGAGCAAAATAATATAACATATTTATCAACAAACGTCATGTAAGGCAACGGGCCAGGGCAGGGTTTAATCGAATTCTACGTCGGCGGAGGTGTTGCCATAACGAATGTACAGTGTTATTAGCGTGTAATACACTGAATCGCGGTAATGTTGCTTTCGGGTAAATCGACTATTATATGGGTCGTTTATCTTGTCGGCGGCCAGGAGGGCCAGTTTATGGTCAATGAATCTTCCGTTCGCCTTTCGGGACGGCAGTTTCTCACCTCGTCACTTTTGCTCTTTGTGTGCTCAGCTGTGCGCCTCAAGACCAATAGACCGACCGATTGGTTAACATCAAAATACCGATACATAATATGCAAATAGGGCGAAACATCCGCGGTGTTCAAGTACTTTTCTTCCGAATTGACCGTTCACTACAGGGATAAATATTATAGGATCCAGGGAATGACATTATGGCGAAGGAAACGAGAGTTTGTCATCAAAAAATATTCTAGCTATTATTTTTATTCTTTAGAAAATTCCACACGAAAAAAAAATAACAGGTTTAGTTGGAATAACTAAATAAATAGTCAGCCATCAAACTACATATAATTGCTTTAACTGTTTATTAACTCATTCCAAATATAATTTTATTGTCTCCCTATATTAGTTATAGCTTTAGTTTATCCAACTATTTTTTTTTTTAATGAACAAGACATACCTGGTAAATACTACTTTCAACGTGATAATTTTTATAGGTATATGCATATACAATACACTGCACGGTGAAAGTTGTTAAGATCTCCTTTTTACTCCGAGAAACGAATCGACGAATAAAAAAGTTATACTATTTATACTAGTTTTATGTGTTTATCGAAAATATTTGTAGAGATTTATCCCTTTATATTTACAAGTAATAAATTCAAAACAATATAAAATGTATTTTTCTTGGCGTATAATATGTTTGTTTTACACAAAGAAAAACCACACAAACGGTAAACGTAGTTTTTATGAGTTACTACTGGTCAATCACAGATAATACATTGAAAATATTCTTATGATTGTTGTACGTATAATATATTGTAAAACAATTAATGTCTGACTAAACTATATAAAATATTATTACGTTGTAGGCTAGCTGTACAGTTGTATCAGTTGAATAGTTGTATTTAAGTTTAACTGAGTTGTTAATACATATTTAACTGATTGTAGACTTAACTGATATGTAGAGCAGGTGTCCCACACCGTTCTGATAAATCTATAAGCAAATGCTATTTTTCCAACTCTATAAAATTTGTTTGGTTACTTTGATATAAACGCAATAATATATATTTCTTTGTGTCAACAAAGTATTGACGGTAAAAAAAATACAATAACATTCCCCCTAATTCTTTTTCAGAGTTCTTTTGTGAATCACAAACGTGAAAATGGCTTAAAAATAAATTGAAATAGTTTTTGATTGACAAAAAAAGCGCAAATATATTATATTTTTGCGTGGAAACATGTGAAGTTCAGTTCTTAGAAAAAAAACAGATTTGTTATAAAACCTCTTGTGTTGCAGAAATGTGTCCTTGGAACACAATTGAGCCTTCTTTTAAATATATAAAAAATAGCTAATAAGATTTGACTCTTGTTTGCTGTATAATATTATTTTAAAAAATCTCGTATTGAATACTCGATAAAAGGTTATATCGAAACAAAATACATAGGTTTTACTTTGGTTATTAGCAAATCATATTTCTTTAATTTCCTGAAATCAGATTATATTTTATTTTTTTATACATAATGTTTGTTACATCTATAACTATTTATTCCTAAACTAAGCAGGTTTCACAGTTAAAACATTTGTAAACTTCCGTGGCACAACTATTCATTTTAAATTTGTATAGTTAAGACTTCTTATATAATGTACTTAGACTATATTAACATACGATTATATAGTTTCTTAATTCAAAGCAAACTATAATTGTTGTATAATAATAAACACAAATATTGTAGAAAGTTTACTTATATGTATAATGTAAATCTAATTTATTTGAAAACTTCATCATAATTACAAGTTATTTACTTTTTTTATAAAACTGTTTAACTATTTTGGAATATTACTTCTTTTTTGAATAAAAAATACATTATTCTTTTTAAAATGTTATTGATAATATTTTCTTAATAATTATCTAATGTTTTCTAGCTTCAGTGAAGCCATAAGGGGTTTTAAGTATTTGCAACAATATCGATTTTGTAATATTATACCATAATCTGGCCAAAATTCGGTGGTTTGCCCTTTTTAATCCAATAATCATAATACGTATAAAATGTATTATTACTTTTTCTATACTATTATGCTTGAAACCTCCGGTGTACGACCTCTGAGTATTTGCATTCTTAATATTGTTAACTAATTATCTTCTATTATTGATATAAAATATAAATCAACACGTTATGCAATGAGGAAGCGGGGGTTCGTCATACTTAATGTGTGCATTACAGAATATTGTATGTATAATAAGAGTATTAAATGTATTGTTTTAGCTGTACGGCCAGCGTTTTTTACATGCAGGCTATGTTGCTGACTGGTAAATTGTATAGTAACAGTTATATTTAATGGCACAGCATACTCAATGGGGTTTGCTCTAGTTACGTGCACTATCCCGTTGTAATTAAATTTACTTACACTTCATCCGAGTGGATTTAAGTGTTAGTGACCCGTTGCGGTAAACCTATATAGTCATCATTTTGACTTTGTATATATCTACCGGTCCCTTTTGAGTTCGATACCAAAATTGAAATTTAAACTATGCGACGCGTTTTACCGTGCCACTGTGAGTTGCTCGATAGTTGTGCATATTATTGTATAATGTATATTATAAACGAATATCCATCGGTATGGCTACAGACAAAGAGAAGAGTTATATTGCAAAGCACGGTGTACTCGTAAATGGCATTTGCCAGGAATTTGGTACTTTTGGCCGATAGCTAAAGTCTGAAATTAAATTTAAGTTGAACAAAAAGTTGCAAATGTTCACTGAAACTTCTGTATACGGTTTATATCGGTTAGCGTTATGATTATGCCGCATTTATTTTTATTAGAAAATGAGCAGTTT